GTATTGATCGTATGTACGATGTGCGATTGTACTATACTATCATGGATGGACAAATTGAAATTTTTAATTTTATTGGATAATTTTTTTGTGTCTTTTATATATAAGGTCCTAAAAACTGACTGTCGGTGAATGCTTCTTTGTGTTTTCTTTGAGAGCGAGTGTAAGAGTGCTTTGAGAGAGTGTTTAAGAGTGTGGTTTGAGTTATCATGCAAGAAGAATTTGTGAAGGGTTCACAAGGTTATCCAAAGGTGAGAATCTCTTTATAAATCTCCCAAATCTCTTCCTTACTTCTTTGAAGATGCTGAAGAGAAGATCTTTGGAGAAGATCTAGTACTCTACCAACACCAAGATGGTGTGAAAGGATGATGGTACTCTGCCGACACTAGGAGGATATGAAAGGATGACATTTCTCTACAAATACATAGAGAGTGTGAAAGGATGACAGTTCTTTGTCGATATTCTAAGAGTGTGAAATGATGATGGTACTCTGGCGTACTGAAAATTAGTGGAAGAGAGGTAATTTGTAAATGCTTCTCCACCTTGATGTGGGAGCAAAAAGAGAGTCACTTTAGTAATAGTGCAACACCTAAAGAGGAAGTTTTCATGGAGTAAACGTTGGTCTAGTTGGATCGAACCACTATAAAATTTTGTGTTATTTTATTTTTATTTATTATATTTTTAATTTTTTGCATTTTATTTTTATGGTTGAAAAGTTTAGTTGTATAAAACTTTTATTGTGCTTAAAATTACAAGAAATGATTTTTTAATATGCCAAGAAATTTTTTAAATTACCAATTCACCGCCCTCTTGGTTAGTTTTGGGATAATTACTTTATGTCTAACAACATATATAGAATTTCAATTAATTCTTTATTTAAGTGAACAATAGAAAATGATGATGATGACATAATGGAAGAGTTGCTTATTGATTCCTATACAATCCCTAAAATGATCTCTCAGTGAATGAGAAAAGGGAGTTTACATCAAAACAATGAGATATCTCGTGAAACAAAATAGGTAAATGCAATCACAAGATCCATATGGGCCCCGACGAGTGTGTCTTGGATACACACGTGACATCTAGGGATGATGCACGGGTTAATAAATGAATGTAGTTATAGCCCGATCCTTCTATACAGGTAAATAAGAGTTGACACGGCTCAAACTATCAAACAGATATACGATTAGAGTGTCAATTGAAATATTCATTTTATATATTCATATAAGGCCTTCAAGGCTTCTAATAAAGAAAATTCATTAATAAAATCATAAATCCAATAATGAAACCTGATCCTCTATCGATGACTCAATAGAGTTGACAATGTTTAATTCATAAATGAAAATGATCCCAAATTCTCTAATGATGGATGTGTTGAATGTAATTCTCAATTGGAAGAGATCAAATATTCAAAATGCCCTCAAATTTTCACAAAATTCAAATGTTTTCAAGTGACCTCAAAGTCACTCTGATAATGGCCGTATTGACAGAAAATCTCAACCAAAAGGGATCAAATATTAAAAATGCTCTCAAATTTTTAGAATATGTGAATAATTTCAAATGACCCCATACACCTGATGATGGTCATATTGAATGTAAATCTTAACTAGAGGGGACAGTTTCAAATATTCAAAGATTCGCTTAAATGCCCATCAAAACCCAAAATCCCAAAAATTCCAAGATTAAAATATTTAAAGTTGAAATAATCCATCAAATTACTTAAAGCAAATATATTTCCACCCTCCACAATAGTTTGCCCAGTTGGATAAATTTGGAAAGCACTTCAGTTCACAAAGAGGTAATATCTAGTCAAGGATATCACTATGATCCATTCTCAATATGTCTCTTGCTAGTAAGGATGTGGCACATGTCCTCTAACTAGTTCTTTCACCACTATATGGCACCACACTTATGATTATGCTGTAAAGTGGCATTATAGGTAAATAGTTATAACCAGGATCCTCTGAACCGGGTGGTTAATCGTCAAATAGCACCACTAAATTATAATCATGGTCAACATCCGTATGCTCCCCAATGGCGTCAAATCATTGAGCAATAAATCAATAGGATATAATCAATAGGACACAAATACCTCTATCATCAAAGGTGGATTCAAATTTATCCCCTTAGACAAACATTCACCCTAAGTCTATAAGGTACCCTTGGACAAAGCAACCCATGACTACCGATAAGGATCCTTTTGTCAAGTTAGGTCGACTAGCTCCTCTGACTAAGTAAACTATGGACTACAATGGCCTGGGATGACATAACCATGGGATCTTGATCAGGTCCATCATCTATTCCCACACCATCTGCTTTAAGTGCAACATTATGAAATTTCTAAATTTAAATATCAATCTTTTAATATCCAAACCCATACTGCTACTATATACCAGATAACAAGTATCTTCTATATATCTGAATGACAACTAGCCTTAGTCAAAAGTTCTCTCTCACTATCGTGAGGGGTAATTAACTATAGGGACTTGCACCAATAGAAAACCAGAACTCATATCTAAAGTCATAACAAAATGAGGGTGAAATCTCTAGGTAATATCTTATCTAATAATCCATGTGCCTTCTTAAAATTTACCCCAGAACTTAATCCGTTAAAACTCCCCCGAAGAAAAAGTATATGGGGGAGGCTAGGGCCGAATTTTTGTAGCCCACACTAAACAAACCTAAAGTGAGCAACGAATATGATCCTTTGTTAGCAACTAGATGGGTTGACAAGGTTCAAGGGATAATATTTAAAATGCCCGCTAAACACTCATATGGGCCTTGACAAGGGTGTTATGGATATACTCGGGACGTTTAAGGGTGTTGTGCAGGTCAAATAATGAACATAAGTTTGAGTCTAATCCTTCTATGCGAGTAGATAGGAGTTGACATGGCTTAAACTATCAAGCAAATATACAATCATGACGTTGACAAGTTGACAGAGTTGATAATTTTCAATCTACAAATGAAAATTTCCAATAAAAATCTCGATGATGACCGTGTTGAACATAGATCTCAACTTGAGAGCTTAATTTCAAATATTCAAAATGCCACTCAAATGTCCTAAAAATTTAAAATTCCAAAAGCAATCAAAATCCAAATATTTAAAATAGAAATTAATTTTCAATCACTTAAAGCAAAATCTATCCATTCTCCATAATAATTGCTGAGGTGGACAAATTTAAAAATACACTTCAAATCACAAAGAGCTAGTGAGTGGTTGAGAATATCACTAGCATTCATTCTCAAACTATCTTCTACCAGTAAGGACGTGGCATGTGTCCTATAACTAATAATTTTGCTGCTAAATGAAATTGCGGGTAAATAATTATGATCGGGGTCATTTGAATAGGGTGGTTTTCCATAAAATGACATTACTAAATTACGGTTATGACTAGAACCCGTAAGCTCCCCAATGACATTAAATCCTTTAGATATGAATCAATATGATACAATCATTAGAGCACAAAGCCCTCTATTAGCTAAGGTGGAATCAAATTTGTCCCCTTAAACAAATATTTTTTCGATGTCTACAAGGTACCCTTGGAAGACGCAGCCCATAGCTGCTGACAAAGATCCTTCTATCAAGTTGGGTCGACTACCTCCTCTGACTAAGTTAACCAAGGACCACAATAGCCTGGAACGACGGTACAATGGGATCTTGACCGGGCTCATCATCACTTCCCCTACCATTCATTTTAAGTGCAAGATAGTGAAACTTCAAACTTTAAATATTAATTTTCAAGCACCTAAACCCATGTTCCTACTATATGCTAGATACACGTATCTCTACATATATGATTGACAGCTAGTCTTAGGAGTAATTAACTATAGGGGCTTGCGCCTATAAGAAACCAAAACTCATATCATAAAGTCCTCACAAAATGAGGGTGAAATCTCTGGGTGTTTCTTATCTTCAATTCAAATTTGCTTTCTGAAAATTTACCTCGGAACTTAATCTATTAAAACTCTCCCTAAGCGAAAAAACATATGAGGGGAGGCTGGGGTGCAAATTTTTGGTGACCACATTTATGTGCCCAACTAAAGGATGAGATATTTGAGAATAAGCTTTCTTATGAAATTTCTGATGACTAAATTATGAGTTTGCTAGCAACTTTTGATGTCTAAGTGACTTTAATGGCCAAGTTATATCAGAATGACCTAATAATATTGACGACTCCAATTTCCAAATTTGTTGGCGAGTAGATTCTTTCTCTTAACTTCATAATTATGGCTAGTTGAATTAAGCAACTTTAAATGAATATTTTCTTTAGCAACTTTAAAGTTCTCAGCAAGTGCTTAGCGACTAGGTTAAAGTCCAATTTATGAAAGTAATATAAGTTGATTAACTCAGCCCAAGGGACAACAACTTTTCTTAATTATGGATTCATTTGATAGGTTTTTTCCTTGCTTTCTAAAACAACTTTTTTTATTAAAATTTCTAATTCAAGAAATTTTTATACTAAAAATTTTATTTAAATAAATAATAAAAAAATTATCCCAAATAAAATCTATGATTATAATAATAAAGTTGCACAATAGCAAAGGTCTTATTATTACAATGGTTCATATTATTGGTCAAAATCTATCATCTTATATTCTATTATTAATATATATTATTTTATTTGATTATCAAAATTATACTAAGACTTCATTTAGAGCATCTTTTTTATTATTTTTAAAATAACTTTTTACTACAAAAATTTTATAAATTAGTATTTTTTTACTAAAAAAATTACTTTAAAAAGCAATACAACAACCGTCACAAATGAAATCTAAATCAAACATAGTACACTAAACCAAATGTATTTGAATAATAATAATATAATCGCACCTCTACTAAAAAAATTCAACGTGAATGGCTCAGTCACTAGAGCATCATTAAAGCACAGCATTAATCAGATTTTTCCCCATTCAGAATTCATGCATCATAATGTTAAAGCTTGCCTTATAAATTAATAAAAAAGAATCGCAAATACTTTGTTGGTTATGCTCACTTGAAATTTTGAAAGCAGAAAAATTGATACACTGCATCTGAACTTGCAAGCATCTTCCGTACATGAAAAACATTCTAAATAATAATTTATATTAACATTTACTACTCGAATAGTCTTACCTACACAATGCTGAAAAACAGCCCATATAAGATAACACAGCAACAATCTAAACAATTACAAAAATACCACCGAGAATATAGTAACAACTGAAAAATCAATATAAATATGGAGAAGCATTATAGAATCCATCACTTTCACTGCTGCAGAACCTATATATTGTGACTAAGTTGAGAGACCATCACCTTGCCATGCCCACACAATGTCCATAAGGGCCGGTCTCATATCCTGTTTCCACAGCTTCTGATACTCGTAAGTATCACCATTGGTCATTCTAATCTCCACCAGATGAAACGAAGGAGTCACCTCAAAAACCATAGCATCAATGGTTAAAACCCCCTTTAAACCTTCTTTTGAACCTTCCATTTTCAGAACCCCTTCTTCCTTTTTCTTTATCTTCAAGCCTAATCTCTTGGCAACTTCCTCAAGCTTTGAGAAAATGGTTGAAGCTGGCTTAGTGGATGTGAATCTTGCTTCCCTCTTGAAGAAAGCCTCCGCAAACAAACCAGAAAGATCAAATCCTGCTGAAAGAGAAATGATATCAAAAGCATTCAAGTTAATTGGTTTCACCATTTCTGGCTTCTCTATATCTTGCTTTTCTTCTGTTGCATTAATCTGGGAGGTATTGAAAGCTGCATTTACATCCTGCGGAGCCAACTCTTGTGCTTCTGTTTCTTTGTTCTTCCGCTTGGCATCAAATCCCTTTTTAAACCATGAATTTTCTTTAATTTTTTCAATTGAGACTCTGGTTTCTGGGTTAGGATCTAGAATTCTTGTTATCAGCTTTCTAACATCTGATAGGAACCAATTCGGGCATTTAAATTCTGCATTTCCGATCTTTCTATACATCTCCATCAGGTTTGGATCATGGAAAGGGAGATAACCGGCCATGAAAACAAATAAAATTACTCCACAGGACCAAAGATCAGCTTTTGCGCCATCATATCCTTTTCTATTAATTACCTCAGGAGCAACATATGCGGGAGTTCCACATGCAGTGTGCAGTAAGCCATCTTGCCTTTTTGACTCAGCAAGGGCACTTAAACCAAAATCTGAAATCTTCAAGTTTTCATTTTCATCCAGGAGGAGGTTCTCAGGTTTCAGATCCCGATGATAAACCCCTCTGCTGTGACAGAAATCTACAGCACTGATCAGCTGCTGAAAACATTTCCTAGCAACATCTTCCTTAAGCCTGCCTTTGGAAATCTTATTAAACAGTTCTCCACCTTTAACATATTCAAGGACGAAATAGATTTTGGATTTGCTTGCCATCACCTCATAAAGCTGCACAATGTTTGGATGTCTGACTAATCTCAAGACCGAAATTTCTCGCTTTATCTGTTCTATGAGTCCAGCCTTGAAAACCTTCTCTTTTTCAATCACCTTTATAGCAACACTATGTGAAGTTTTAATATTCCTAGCATGATAAACCTTGGCGAATGTCCCTTGTCCTAACAATCTTCCTAATTCATATTTTTTCATAAGAACGTGCCCTTTATTTTCTGAAACCATCTTCTATAATCTTCCTGAAATATTGCCCTCTCCCACTTATATATGAAATTTCAAAACAGAGGGATCTTGAACTCAAAACACTTCAACCGTCGTCACCAATGTCGTGCCCAAACACGACAGGATTTCTTGAGTTTCTAGCTTCAATGTGCAGTCTTGCATTTAGGATATGCTTGTCAAGGGCTTGTTCCTTGATCTCATCAAGGATGAATGGTAAAAGCCAATATGGAGCTACAGCCGGATTCGCCTCAGACAAGATTATCTTGGTCTGGATGCACATCTTTCCGCATTCCCTATAATTTTTCTTCCAAAAATTTACCTGAAAAATATTTGGAAGAAAACTAGATATGATATACTAGAATTACAAGAAATCAACTACTCTCACTTAAAATATTGATGAAACTGCATCCCCCAACATGAAATGCTATAATTGAAATAGTGATGAGATAATCACAAATGTATGTTTGATCTCCAAAAATGCTTGCGATGTAACAGGCAGCAATTGTAGATGGGGGAGGAGGCAAAGGACATAATTAGGAAGAGTCGGGGGTGGAGGGAGGGAGGAAGGGAGATTGAATGGGAGCAAAATATGTTTTCTTTATTCTTCTTCAAAATTTCAAGGTTTTTTAATTTTATTTTTTTCTAGGAAAGCAAATTTATGCATCAAGGCAAAGGAAGATAATCCATATAATTCATGGAAAAACAATTGAGACAAATTATCCTGATAAAAATTTTGTACAGAATAGGTCTTAAAAGAAATATTTTGTGATAATTACAATATTAATTATTTGTTTATTGCTCTCATCTCATAGAAAATCCAATGATTTGAAACTAATCCTAATCAATTTTTCTTCGGGATATCTTGACATAAGATTTATTCATAATTCATGAAGAATGAATAGGAGAAACAAATAATTAAGATAAAAAAGAACTGAAGAAACAAAACTAAAATAATTTTCATATCTAATTAAACCATAATGATCACCACTTATTTATTTATTTATTTTTGATAAACTGAATTAACCAAATAACTCAATAACTCCCACTAATATGATATATTAAAGGCCCTCAAATTATCCAAATCAGCCCATAAATGCCCTAGTGACCATAGTTCAATTAGTATAAATCATATTGCATCATCACATAAGCATTTGTAGGCCCATTACTACTGATAACAAGCTTTATCTTCTTTTAGATAAGAATAAATTTAAATTTAAATTCATTGGGATTGTGTAGGGATATATTTCCATATTTCTATAAATGAGAATCGATGATATAATTACTATTTATTGATTGATTGAATGAATGCAAATTCATTGTGCCAACAAGAGTGTATTTTAGATTCAGGTTCTATATAAGTTCTTTTCTATATTTGTGGTCCACCATTTTTTCTGTATTAAATTAAGATTTATGGAACCTTCATTTTATTTCTATAAGCCTATAATTTTCTTGGCAGATCTGCAACATATAATATTATCCCGAACCACAACAGCATATATCCCAATCATCCCATTTTGCCACCAACACACACCTCCACACAATCATACGTCATTGTTACCCAATTTGTTACAGCATTTGCACACACTCATTACACTAGCAACTCAAAAGAGACGCATTTGGAAACTGCTTTCCATTTGCATGCATTATTTATTTTCTTCCAATATCACAGCCCAACCTACATTGCTTGCGACTGGCTTCATAACTTGGTGAGTTCCCCAAAATTTCTCAGCTTGTTGCATTGTATCTCCTTCCTCCATGTAATCTGTGAATGGAAATATAAGAGCAATAAACAAATAAGCCTATCACTTTCCCTATTCAACAACAATGCACCCATACCAAAGTTTCCACATGTGAATCTCATACATAGTCTCTTCTTGATAAGCCACACACTCCTGCTCGCAAGTATCTCCTTTCGCTCGTTGTCCTGCTTCATCACTATTAAAACAACTCATTCATTTCTTCTTTGTCAGCTACTTGCATATTTGCTTCTTTCATTCCTCTCCTAGGATTTTCTAGCTATTCCTTTGACAATCACATCAATTGCAACATCGAGACATGGATGACAAAAATTGACTCCATCTTTGTCCCCTTATCAATAACTATCACAACCAACAACAACTGAGGGAAAATCTTCTAGCAACAAGGAGATCCTAACTTCCCTAAGTTTGATCCTATTGGGATAATGCATGATCTAAATTGATATTGGGATAAATACGTGCGTATGGAAATCTTATAATTATGCTGATAGGAAACACTTGGATTTCCAAGTGTTTCACACCAAAACCAAGAGGATTCAAAGGAAAACTGCTGTCCACAGCAGAAAAACAGCCAACTGCACGAAAATCTGAGAGGAAATGTAGGAGAAAACGTAGGAAAAACACTGTAAACACTTTTATTACGATAACGGATGAAAAGCACTTGCAAGATACAGCTTTCCTTCAATTCGAGAGGAAGGAAAAACTCTCCAAAAGATCTCCGGCGAAGCCAAGAGCCCAAGACACCAAAACCTAGATCTCAAAACAATTCAAATTCAAGATAAGATCCCAATTCCCCCCTAAACTCCTAATTATACAAAATTAATCATAAAGGATAATAATAAACTTCCTAAAACAGCCCTCACATTCAAAATTTCCCTCCTAAACCTCCCCCCAAGCGCCCACGTGGACCTCACGCTCCGCCCGCCCCCTGTTTTCTCCGCCTGGAGTAACAGTGGACCGTTCCGGGTTGGACCGGTCCAGCCGGCCCCTCCTGGGCCGGCGTAACATATGCATGTGCAATTGATTAGTTAACATCTATTAAAAGTTGTCAAACCATAACCCTACAAATTATCATAATAATAATAATTACTGGAAGCAGATCGAGTGTTATACTAAAATTTTCTTGCTAGCTACCATATAATCCTATGAGTTATTTTTTGTAAACTTAAAAGCCATTGAATTGGATTTTAAAAGTGGAAGAAAATTGATTGTTTCTAAAATGAAATCTACTAATAGCTAGTACAACTAAATTTGCTTGCATGTCATTTGAATATCTTGTCAGTTTGTAGTTTCATATTGCATCATTATAGTTTGCAGTTGCATGCTGCATCATTATAGTTTGCAAAGATGTCACTCACATCAAAATAAGCCTAAAATATATTTTAAGAATCTTGCCCAAAATAATCAATTTAAAGAGTTGATTTCCAATAGTCTAATTCGTAATGATAAGAGATGAAGCATCAATAGGCTTGAAACTAACATGATTATCTTGAAACAAATAAAAGAAAACTTATTGGCATAATCAGGTATCAATGAAGTATCTATTAGCAGACTACTTGTTATACCACGAAATCCTTACCTAATACTAAACTGATTTTAGAATCCCTATTGGATTTTTTAGGATTTAGACTAGCTTATACAGATCGCATATTTACAAAGGCAATAAGGCTAGCTATTATACCACAAAAAGACCAATGAAAAAAGACAAATATCAATAATCTTATTAACAATGATAAGAGCTCATATCTTTGGAAATTGAACCTAATTGAAGCACCAATAGGCTATAAACTAACATAACTATCCTGAAATAAATGATAGAAAACTAATCTACATAAATAGGTGCAACTGAGATCTACTAGTAGACTAGCTGTTAAACTGCAAATCTTTCACCTAATACTAAATTGATACTAGAATCCCGAATGAGTTTTTTAAAGAACTAAATTAGCTTACAAAGCTGACCTATCCTACATAAGTTAGAAGGCTTATCCTGACTTATCAACTTCGAGCTTGTAACAACATTGCTGATCAAAACTGTCCTCCCCACCAAAGAGAATACCAGTATAGACCATTGCCTCTTAGGTTCCTTGCCACTAGTTTCAATCATACTATTGTCACTCGACATGATCCTACTAAAACGATTAAGGTCAATGCTCCGACATTCAAGGGAACTTCTTATTAGATTAGGAATCTATAATGGATGAATAATTCTTGACATGAGCAGAATAACATACATATGTTAGCTTTAATAAAATTAAGTTGTCAGAGTTAGTTAAATATTATTAGAATGCTAATTTGTTATATTAACTGAAAAGAGACACCCCCATCTCTACTAGGGCTGCAAATGAATCAAGCATTCAATAAGCTACTTGTGGCTCAGTTTTATTAGAGCTTGTTCATGATCATTTGATGGCTAATCAAACAAATTTGAACCTATTTTTAAAAACTAGTTTAATAAATAAATAAGAAAAATTTTAAGAGCTTGTTGCTCAACGCATTTATAACCACAAACAATATCATTTGAAGGTTGTAAACAAGCTTGATATAAACCTAGTTATGAAGCTTGATTAAGTTTTGATACAAAGCTTGTAAATAAACTCATGAAGAAAATCAACTAAGGCTCGTTTAAAAATAGTAAACAAATTAATTTGAATTTTTCAAAATAATCATAAATTAATATCAATTTAATCATTAATTAATAATTCATTAAATTAATTATTGATGTTGGAAGTTCCATGAATGTTATCTTGAAAGCAGCCTTGCTTAGAGCTGGGTAGACACTACAACAGCATCTTGTTCATTCCCATGCGGCTTGGGTGATCCAACATCCTCACCTGATACAAAAAAAATTCTTTTTCCTATCTAGATGGGTAGTTATAAAGACAAGATCAAGTTCCTATCTTTATGGATGTTACACGTATCGTCTTAAATCGCACTTGGCTTTATGACATAAATTTTATACATTATAGACAAGAAAATATTAATGACTTCAAGTTTTAATTATACCTCTACTCATTTGTTTCCAGATAATATTATTAAATCTTAAGCAACTACATAAGCTTCGATTAGAAACAAAAACTACAACTCTAGCCTAGCTAAACCTATAAGGCTAGATTATGACTTCTACCACGGTTCAATCAACTACGAAGAGCTAGTCAATATTCCAGAGTTCAATTAAATCTTCTATGATCATAATTAATACTATTTATGGTTCTACCTAACTATTTGTAATTTTGAGAAAGGCCCTCAGTTTTAATCACTTCATTGTTCGTTTCTAGTTGCATATTTCGTCATCAAAAGGCCTTCCAAAGGACTATTTTTGAGTCCCCAATGCTACATCAGTTGACTACACGAGATTTATCCTCTTAATTTTAAGAACTATATACCTACTATGGTTACAAACATTTTATAATAATTTTAGGGCATTACTCCCTAAAAATTATTACATGAGCTTCCTCCCATGAGGGATATTCAATACGTCATTTATTTTGTATTAGATTTATAATAAAAAATTTTACCATACAATATAATGAGCCTACTAAGCATGCTAGGCTCAAAAATTTGATGGACTAAAATAGAAAGCATTTTTTGAAAGAAAGTTTTAAGTTCATGTGTTGTCCCCACATTGTTAATAAAATAAAATCATAGTAAAGTATAAATTTTCTATACCTAGATTGGATAGCACGCTTAACATGACCTATATGTCTTTGTATTTTTTAAAATATGATTTGCACAAAGAGTACCATCAGATCTTATTCATCATGGATATGAATGGAAAAACGTATTTAGGTATTTTAATTGTCTAATGCAACAAAGATTTTAATGTGATAAATAAACCAAGTGTTTGGGCCATATTAGACAGCACTGTCATGTACTTTTTCTTTCCTCTCCCTTCAGCTATCTGGAGCAATTTGTTTATGAATTTGCATTAAAACTATTTAGGATTATTTATGGTGTGATAATATAATACTGGTAGTAGATAGATTTTCCAAAAAGGTTTACTTCATTCTAATGCTCTAAGACTAAAATGCATCTTATATGATATAACTTTTCTTTAAGAAAATTGTTAGGTTATCTGTGTAACCCAATGCCAAAATATATGATAAAAATATCATATTTACTTCATGTTCTTGAAAAAACTTGATGGAAATCGTTTAGCATTCTCTTTATGTTTTTATCAACCTTTCATATTTAAACTAATGGTCATTCTAAGGTAATAAATTAAAATCATGGAAATCAATACAGAAGTTTGATTAAAAAAAAATCTAGGTAATTGAGATATGCATTTCCTAAGAAGGGACATTTTATTGCTTGTAGCTAGAAAACATGTGTTAGAGAATAGTGATCATGTTATCATTCAATTTGTATGAAACAATGAAATAATGACTTTCAAGAGGGATTTGAAATTTTTTGTTAAGTTTTAAGTCATTGTTGATTCTAACTACTTTCAAACAAATAATGAACTTGACAAAATTCAATGTTTTAAAAAAATGTTTCTAAACTTAATGCAACCAAATAAGCCCAGAGTAATATAAAGGAAAAGTAAAGTTTAAGTAATTTATTGCAGTAGTAAGAATATAATAGGGGTTTTTGGTTGGCCGCAAAATAAATGAAGAGAATATATAATTTTTTTTTTTTTTTGGAATTGATACTTCATCACAAAATTAGCTTGATCGGGCACGAATCTCGAGGCAAAAGCTAGTTCGAAACTTCAAAATTTAATTTTGGGAGCACCCGAACTCCGATTTCAGCGAGCTTATAGTCAAACTGAGCGTCTCGGAAATACGAACCCAACGACACCAAGATCAACCCAATCCGAGCCCAAATGAATCCGAATCAAGGGCTCAAAGCGCTGTTGGAAGGTTCAAACCGCAATTTGAGTTACCAAACGGTCTCCGATTTTGACGAGCTTATACTCGAATCGAACGGCTCGACGAGACGAATCCAACGAGCCCAAGATCGCCGAATTCCGACATCATTAAGGCCTTCAAATGCCCAACGAACGGTGCATGATCAAAGGATTCAATATCGGCCGTCCATTCAAAACACTCCCAATTCGCCCCTGATCTCACGCCTATTTACGGGCTATGCCACTCCAGAAAAACTATAAATAGAGCCCTCATTCTACACCAAATGGACTCAAGTGAAAAGAGAGAAGAAGAAGAGGAGAAAGAGGAAAAGGAGATTCCTCACCTCCTCGACCACCGCCGGAGCTCTTCATGCCGCCTGTAGACGCCGGAACTCTGCCGGAATTTTGGGAAACGCTGGGAATTTGCAGAACTTTATAACTTTGTGAGAAGCTGATTGTAAATTGATCGTCTTGATTTGTAAGACGGGTCAACCTTTGTACTTCAAACAAATACTAGTGGAACTTTGCAACTGGGCGAGGCCCCGTGATTTTTTCCCTCTTTGGGGTTTTCCACGTAAAAACCTTGGTGTTCATTTTCTCTTTTCTGTTTGTGTGTGGAATACTCGTGCAACGCTAAGACGAATATTTCCTAACTCTACTGCCGCGTATATTCTAGCACGCAACAGGAATGATGAGTGTTAATGAACAAGTTTGATGTAGGTGGGTTTCAAACCTAGGAACATGGCAACAACTTCCAAGACAATTACCATCTAAACTAACTGATGCCTACAATAATAAGTAATTGAGTATTTGATTTGAAGGCAAATACTTTTACATCAAATCGCATTTCAGGATATTTTCTTCACAATTTTAAATTACTTGTCATCTAATTAGAATCAAACAAACCCAAAAACTAATCAAACTTGCTTAGAAAAAAAAACGGTTTTTGTTAAATCATTAAGCCAGCCCAAATTCTTTTATACAAATTTTCAAGAAGCCTAAGATTTGACATAGAATCCATGACAAGGGAAAAATAAATGAATGCCTAATTCTTTCAAAATGATAAAAAGCAATATAATCCCCTCTAAAGTTTAAAAAGAGACCTTTCATAACAAAAGATCATCAAAACTTCTCAATGAAAAAAAAAAAAAAAAAAGGACACGATTTAAAGCTATCTGATAGAAAAATTCTAAAGATGACCAGCCAACGAAAAAAATAGGCATTTACCTGCGCAAATCGACGATGATGGGGAAGACGACGAAGAAACTGGCCAAAATCCAATCCAGACGACGCCGGATTTCCTAAAGCAGTGCTTCGCTGCAAAGAGATTCACTTTACAAGATTGTGCAGAGACGAAAAGGAAATAGGTAACTGTTTTATAGGAAAGACCCCAGGAAAACCTTAGCCCCCGACCACGACCTAGCACAAAATTTCTCTTCGACGCGCTCGGCAGGCTAGACTCCACCGCCCTTTTTAAAATAGAAATCGCAAGCCTTATACAATGAAATTACACAAATACCTCCACACCCTTGTCCTTGAAACGCCCGCCCTCGTAACGGTCTATATTTTCTTAATTACGAAATATAGTCTCAGTTTAAATAAATATTTTCTTAAAATATTTATTTTCTGTGTATTGTTAGGAAAAGATAATGATGATAATGACTATGATGTATATATTTTCATTTTATACCTCTATAAACATAAGATTAGTTTATGGAACATTTTCATATTTAATGATAATATAATAATCTTTTTCAGCATATTTATATTGCATTAATAGTATAGGAATATATCAAATAAAATCAAAGTGATAATTTTTTTTAGCCAGTTGACGACATCGAATGGGAATCACACCTGACATAATTTTTTGGTCGACCGACAAGTCACTACTCAATCAGCAAAGTGATAGCTATTGATCGAGTACTAAAGGATAGATTAATGATGTATCACCAATGATATAATATATTTGTGGGCTCATATTTGTGATACATTCTTCAATATAAAAATATCATTATTACTTTTTATATTTTTGATATAAAAAATATCAGTGATATATTGTGAGTTGATGTATTTATTTATTAAATTTTATCATGTACATAAGGGTGTATAAGTAATTTATGATTAAAATTGATTTTTAAGTTATAAAAAATATTCAAAAATAATTATTCTCTTATGTTGAAGAAGTGTTTTTATTATTAATCATATTATGTTATAGATTCTCATTGTTTCATAATTCTCTCATTTGGACAAAGTAGCAAAAATAAAAAATAAAATGAAAAACACACTTCATGAAGCACAAATATAGAATCCTAAGCTGTGCTTATACGGCAACAATGGCCAACAAAGGATAACATTACACGTGCAGACGCGTTGCGTCATCAGCAACTCATAGGCAAGCAACTCCACGAACGTTCAAGTAATCGAAATGAATTTCGTAAGTATGAATATAGACCATTTAAAACTTTTTTTAGGGGTGATTTGGTTGGCCCAAAGAAAGAGTAAAAGAAATGCAGCATAAAAAATATATATATTGTACTTAAAATATTTTTAAATTATTTGATTTGAATTAAAATGAATATAGTTGTTGCGTCTAGGAATATTCGTGACGATAGAGAAAAATGAAGTTTAGCGTTTTAGCATTGTACGAAGATCCAGCATGCAAGAAGAAAGAGAGAGATCAAGACATCGATCTTTTTTTACGTAGAAAACTCGAAGAGGGAAAAACCACGGGGCCTCGCCCAGGTGAAAAGGTTCCACTAAACTTAAGTGAATTACAAGGGTTGACCCGTCCCTCGATTTAGAGGTGGTCATATTACAATAATTTGAAGAGCTAGTTAAAGGACCGATGACGGTCAGACGAAAATCCGACGGCTTTTGTGAAAAAGTTTGGCTGACAAGGAATTATCCAATGAAGGTCTGACGGTGAACGGCGGCTGGGCTGTGGTCCAGCGATGGCTGAGTTGAAGTCCAACGGCGGTAGGCGGCCGGGCGGTGGTTCGACGATGGTCGATAGCCGGGCGGTGGTTCGACGAAGGTCGAGCTGAAGTCCGGCGGTGGGGCGGTGGTCCGACGAAGGACGGGCTGAAGTCCGGCGGTGGTCGGCGGCCGGGCAGTAGTCCGGTGGCTGTCTACAGCCGGGCGGTGGTCTAACGTAGGTCGGGCTGAGGTCCAGTGGTAGTCGGCGACCGGGCGATTGGCAGCCGGGCGATGGTCCGACGTAGGTCAGGCTGAAGTCTGGCGGCGGTCGGTGGCCGGGCAGTGGTCCAGCGGCGGTCTGCAGCCGGGCGGAGGTTCAACGTATGTAGGGCTAAAGTCTAGCGGCAGTCGGCGGTCGGGCGGTGGACCCATGAAGGTCTGGCTAAAGTCTGGCGGCTGTAGGCGGCAGAGCTGAAGTCCGGCGGCAGTCGGTGGCCGGGCGATGGTCCGACGAAGGTCGGGCTGAAGTCCGGCGGCCGGGAGGTGGTCCGACGTAGGTCGGGCTGAAGTCCGGCCGCGGTCAACGGTCGATGGTCAGGCGGTGGTCCGGCGGCGGTCGACAGCCGTGCGGTGGTTCAACGTATGTCGGGCTAAAGTCTGGCGGCGGTCGGCGGCCGGGCCGCGGCGGTCTGGGTTCGACGCAAGGTCAGGCTGAAGTCCGGCCGAGGATAGGCGCTGCTGGCGGTGCATGAAGACGCGGGCCAAGTCGGCGCCTGGTGGTCCGACGGGAAGGTTCGTAGGCTGCAAGTCCGCGGGCAAATCGCGGCTGGCCGGAAGTGGTTCCAGGCGGCCGGGGTTCGGCAGGGGGGCAAAGCCGGCGGTAGTAGTCCGCATTTAGGCCGGCTAAAGTCCGGCGGCCGGGCTGTGGTGCTAGAGCTCTTGAAGTTCAGAGCTCTCCCTAATCTCAGCCAAGGTCCTCCTCATGTAGAGAGTGGGGTCTATTTTATATATTTTCATGAGTGGCACACCCCGTAAATTTATTGAAGATCCAGAGGTTGGTTCGGAGTGCTCCATCGGATGGCTCATATTGATTCCCCTGATTCGGACCAACATTCACCCTCCCAACAGGGGAAAACTACTACCACCAGTCTTGATCACCTTCCCACAGACGCGTCAAACTGTTGTGTCCAGGAATATTCGCGACGATTGAGAAAAATGAAGTTAGCGTCTTAGCATTGTACGAAGATCCAGCACGCAAGCAGAAAGAGGGAGATCAGGTGCCTTGATCTCTCTCTTTCTGCTTGCGTGCTAGATCTTCGTATAATACTAAGACGCTAAACTTCATTTTCTTTATCATCGCAATATTCCTGGACCCAACAATAGTGTAAACTCTAAAAATGATAGTTTTAAGTGATCCGATGCGGGGTGGTGTGATATGCAATGACGAGATAGGCAACAACCACGATGGTGGTTGGGAGCTGAAAGTGGTGACCGGGCAGCAACAAAGGAAGTGTGGCCTGACAGCAAGTGGTGGTGGTAGGTGGGTAGCTGGTAAATAGTGACAATAATGATGTATTTGAAAATTGTCCAATTCTACAAAATTTAAATATACAACATTAAACTAAAGGGGTATTCTATTCTCAAATTCATATATTTGAAATATTTTACGCCTATTTAGCTTTAAACCAAATAGTTCTTAGTATACAAGTAATGCCTCTAATGCTTTTTGGAATTTTTATTTATTTTGTTGTTAGATTTTATATTGCAAGGTTATTTTTTTTTTTTATATATATATATACTATTATATATATATATATATATATATATATATATTAGGAGTTACGCTTGATAATTGTCATTTAAGATGTCGGTATAATTTAAATGACTCTATTGATAACGCGGATATATTTAATAAATCCTTAATGATTTAATGTTCTATATTAGGAGTTACGCTTCTTTATCGCCATAAAAACCAAAATACCCACCAATTACAGCTCAGAAATTGCCACAATGCCGTGAAGGAATTGGTCATCAGCGTTTCAGTAATTTATGACAATTATGCGGGCAAGGCTGTCGTCTGCAATACAAGAAATTATTGATATTAAAAAAAATTTTAATAGAGAACTATAAATTAAAATAATATATAACTTAAATTTATGATTTTATGAAAATGATTTTCTTGTCAATTATTTAAGCCGCGACGCCTCTCACATATGAACTCCTTTTGAAATTGATGACTGTTAATTTTAATATCGTTGCATATTATTCTTTATATATATATATATTATATATATATATATATATATATATATATTATATTTATATTATATATATATATATATATAATTAGTTTAGCATGTTTCAGTTAATTCGATTCTATTAGGACTAACAGCCACCCAAAAAATTATCGATAATTAAGGGCACACATCTTCCATGGGTGTCTCAGATCAAGCTACAAGAAGTGTCCATATATATACCCTACAAGCATCACTCACTGGATCAAACTTGTCCCATACTAGTTGTATCTAGCACCTAGGTGACTAGTCATCTATTTTCGGGGACTCGCCATCATAGACTCATCATATATACCATGTGCTAAAAACTCACCCAAAGTACTAGCCACCAAAATCTTTCCCAAGGTACTTGACTTTGGGAAGGGCTTCATGCTAGAGATAGAGATCCATATGCACACCATCCAGCTAGCCCACATGCTGTGTCAATTTATAATAGTCACATCTTTTTTTTTAATTTATTTATTCAAGGAATAGCCTTTTTTAGCCCTCTTAACCTCATAAATAAATGGTAAATAGTAAGAATTTGAACCAAGCTATGGGGATTACTCATAGACACATTAGATCTTTCTACTTACTCACCATACTTACTAGCTTTCTCACTCAACTCTTTAGCTCTCATTCACAAAATTCATGTTAGTTTGGTTGGGTATCACCCACACAAAAATCTAGATCAAACATCCTCTAAAGTATGATGATCATGGATTGATGCTAATGACTAGAAGATAGACACATTGTGAAAAATAACAAAACTAGGAGTCATTAGTGAACATAGAAAATCAAAATTATAGAACCCACAATGATCACAAGGAGAAGAGAATTCCTAAGATGATCCAAGATGCACTTAGGCGAGTTCAAAGAAATGACCTAGGGAGAGTATCTCAAAAGGGACTTCTAACTCAACACCTTAGAAAAAGTGACTCGAGACCAGGTGCTAACTTGAAATCCCATTATTGACCATAACCACAATCACTTGTACAACTCTCTACACAAGCAAGTGAGAAGGAGGGAGCCAAAGCTAACTTATGTGTTCCCATAAAAAAGATCATATAAGCAAAGCCACCTACTAAGTTCAAAATTCCTCTTATGGAGATATATTAGAGACGTTGGATCCGGTTGATCATGTCGCATACTTTGAGCTTGTTATGTCAAAAATGGACATCAATGATGAACTTAAATGTCAGTTGTTTTTCACCTTTAAAGAATCCTCCCTTTTATAGATTTCTTACTTGATGTCGGA